TTAAGTTTTGCTCTTGGTTTTGTATATATACATGTATTAAAGGCAGCATTTGTGGCAGACTGTACGAAATGGCTAGTTTAATTTGGAACCTGGTAATAATGGTCTGTCACAGACTTGGAGTACAAATGCTCCCAAAGATTCAGATAAAATACAACCCTATTCCCTGTACTAAAGTAGAGGATTCTGGAGTCAACAGATTTTTCTGGCGTCTGTAATTTGAAGAGCCTCATGGTGGAAATTCCTGCCTATGGCATCTTTAAATCTTTGTGGCAGGAAGCAGGAGCCCTGGCAGCACAGTGGTTGTTACTAGTTGGGCGTGCACTGTAAGGTCAGCAGTTCAAAACCACCAACTTCTCTGAGGGAGAAAGATAGGGCTTGACTCCCGCAACGAGTTCCGGTCTTGGAAACTCACAGGGGCAATTCTGCCCTGTCCTGTAGAGTCGCTACGAGTCGGCATTGACTTGATGGCCGTGAGAATTTTCTTTATAGCAGGGATGTAGTGACAGTGAATGGCTAAACACATTTACATTTACCTAGTAATCCATAGAACGTCGTACAAGCCACATTGTAAGCAGAATGAAAGTGGGGTGAAATTGGGTGTCACAGAGCTCCAAGCCGCTATGGGTAGCATACGGGAGCCTGATCTGGTGCAGACGGGCATCAAAGCAAACGAACGAACACACTGCCGTCAAGTCACTTCTGACTCCAGCGGGTGCCGGGGTCAATAATTGGAAAAGGAATTGTGTATATTTTCATAGTTATTTCAAGAGTAAAAAGAATAATTCCTGGCCCTGAATGCTGAAAGAAAAGTTAAGAACCTTTGAAGACTAAAAGTGCTTTAAAAAACTGTTTCTGTGACTACCCACCAGTAGTTTGCTATTTCACGGATATTACAAGGATTTCTTTCTCCTCCTATTTCTTTCTGACTGTAGGTCCTAATGTCTCTTCACGAAATGTTCCCTGCGGTACATGCAGCAGAAATGGCTGTCCAGAGGAATCCACATTCCTGGGAGTCATGGCAGACGTTGGGACGTGCTCAGCTTGGAATAGGAGAGATAGTTTTGGTAAGGAAGTCAGATTATTATAGTTTTTAAATTTGAGGTTTT